GAATGAAATTAGTCCATAGCATTGGCAGTTATTTGAAATATAGCATTGCTTATATTATTACGTGTTAAGCCAAAAATGTCCCATTACAATAAATTACAGGCCCGTGACGTGAGAAGTATAAATGGATGGTAACAAACTATAACTTCAAGTCACTTTACTTGACCTCCATGGTTGATCCTATGAAATGTTTTGCACTGAAGCAAGCAGGGCTATAGCTTTAAGGGGAAAAAAAGGGAAAGAAAAATTCTACTCCAAAAGTTAACTGGGAGCAGATGTGAGCTCCCGCACCGGGGCCAGGCTTTGTGTTGGTGAAGTGTGGAGAGAAAGCGGGATTCAGAAAGCTAAGGTCAGGCACAGTGGACAGGAATAGGAATAAAACATGCGTGTATTGAGTACCTAACATGTGCTAGGTCAGCACCGTGCTAACGTTTAACATTAAATATCCCTGGATCCTTAGAAAGGTTGCAGGAGATATTACCCCCCTATTTCTCAGAGGGGAGCACTCAGGAGAGCGGGTGGTGGGAGGTGACACAGCTGCACTCAGACAATTCTCTTTCTCTGCCGCAGACTGTCTGTCTCAGGCGCAGGCCCAGCCACCTAGCAGCCATGTGACCTTTCGCGGTCCCTGCGTGCATCAGCGTTGCCCCACAAGCCCTGCAGCAGATTTCCTGCCCCCAGGAGTTTGTGTCTCATCTACCCACAAAGTCTCCCAACAGCTTCAGCTTCAATCTAGTTTCCTTCTGCTCTTCTTTCCTGGTTTGCTTTATGAAGGCAACCAAGGTCCCCCTCCTGGATGGCTACATACTCTGAGGGGCCCATTGCAAAATGAAAATGCAGGTTTCCCCATTCAGGAAGCAGAGAAGTGATGCCATTAAAGGTACTAAAAGCATTTTGCTTTTCTTCAGTGGTCTCCCAACTTTGTACGGTGTCTTTTATTTATTAGTTATGTGAGTCCACGTTAAGAAAAATTAAAATATTAAATTGTTAGCATGAACTTTACCCATTCACTTTTATATCATGCAATGCCTGTTTTAAATGCGAATAGAAGAGCTTTTCAATCATATGCAGAATCGCTGAAATTACACAACGGGGATGTCACAGTTTGTACAGGCGAGTGTGCTTCTTTCTTCTCAGAACAGTGGAGACGCTGCACAGAAGCATCAACTGTATCTCTTTCACCCCCTGGTACATGCACTTCTGTCAACACAACCTTCAGCTTACTGTTGGGTAAGGAAAGATGGAAAGGAAAAGGAACTGTGGACTTCCCTCTTTCCCTTTCCTTCTCTGTCATCATCTTTGATGTAAATAATTAGCTAATACAGGGAAGCAACAGGAGTAAGGAAGGCTTGAGAAGGTTCCTTGGTCATTCACGTTTCTTAGACCAGCCTTGTCTCTCTGCGCTTGAAGCAAATTCAGGCTCAAGTGGAAAGCACGGCCCCTCAAAACTGTCAGCACCCCCACCTCCTCAGCTGTTAGACGAACCGCTTATCTTGGACGCATTTGCAGTCTCGGTGAATTCCCAGGATTATGAGCATTCTGCTCCCAGGATTATGAGCATTCTGCTCTCGTGGGAATCACAGACACTACGTGCAAACGGATGCAAGAACAACCAACACTGTATGTCTGTATCACCTCTCTTTCCACTCACAATCCACTGTCCCATGACTTCACTTTCAAAATACAATTCGAAGAATTTCAAGAAGTGACAGCAGAGCATTAAACCAAGGATGGGGTCCTTCTGAGCACAGAGCCCCGTGTGACAACGCAGGCCACATGCCCTGGCCCTGCTAGAGTTACATTTAGTGTAAAAACAGATGGGGAGCCTGCTAATAAAATGTGTCCAGGACCTAGCTTCAAAGATTCTCATGTAAGTCCTAGAATCTGTACTTTTTATAAGCTCTCTGAGTGATTGGGAGGGACTTCTGGGTTTACAGCACCACACACCACTCGAGTGATTCCAAGTTCCTGAAATATAGTCACCTTCCAGGCAGCCCTGGTAGTCAGCCGCTTTTCTTTCTCTTATCTACTCCATCAACCCACCACCAAGGTTGACACTAAGGGAAAGGCCACAGTGGAAGGAGTGACAGAGGGAAGGAAAACCATCCTGATACACCCATGGGTTGTAAGATGCTATCATCTGCTTGATAGCTTGATTGGCTCCCTGGCTCTCCCGATGCCCACCCCTCGGAGCATCTACTTCTATGCTGTTAGCAGGGGTATCTGCACACTGAGTTGGCCTCTCTCCCCGGCCTGCTCCTTCCCGAGGCTCCTAGCCCCGTGACTGACCCTGCCTTTCCTCCTGGCTCTTTAAACCAGCGTCTTCAGAACCACCTTCGACTTCTCCCTCTTCCTCAACTCTTCACTCCAAATTGGCCTGTTCTTTCAAATTTCCCTTCCAGATCACACATGAATGCCTCCTCTTTTCTCTGTGTCTTTGGTCACTGCCTTGATTTATTTAGACCTTACTCTTTCCCCTCCTGAGTCACTTGAATGACTTTCCAGTGAGGCTCCTTATCTGCTTCTGTATCTGCCCTCAATGTGGCTAAGAGATTCTTCTAAAATCCAGGTCTAATAGAATTCTCTTATTCAGGATCCTTTCATGCCTTCTGAGAGTCTCAAGCCAAATATTTAAAGCTCTTATTGTCATATTTTAGACCCTCAAAGATATGACTCTGTGCCTTGGCCCTGTGGCTCAGTGGTGAGTGTGGCCCAAGCACTAAAGGTTCATCGGTTTAATTCCCGGTCAAGGGCAAGTACCTAGGTCGCAGGTTCAGTCTCTGGCCCCAGTTGGGTTGCATGCTGGAGGCAACCAACTGATGTATCTCTCACACATTGATGTCTCTCTCTCTCTCTCTCTCTTTCTCTCTCCCCCACCCCAACCCTCCTTCCAATCTCTCGAAAAAAATCAATGGAAAAAATATCTTCTATCTGCTAGATGAAGATTAACAACAACAACAAAAGATATGGCTGTTTTGGCAAATGCCAACCAGGCCCGGTGCTCAGCAGTTCTGTAAACACCTTTCTCTGCTCCTACTGGGCCTTTGCAGTGTATTTCCCCCTACTGTGAACAGCCCTCTTCAGCTCTTCCAGCCCTTCCCCATTCCTCATCTACCCATCAAATTACTGCTTGTCATTTTATGGGTTGGCTAAAAAACCAAATTAAAAATCACCTCCTTTTCAATTCCCTAACACTCCTCCCCACCCCATCTTGATGCCTCCCCCCACTACGGCTGCTCCCCTGCTCCCCATGGCTCTTGAGACAAACCCCTTGTGCCCTCCCTACCAGGCTGGGAGGACCTTGAGGATAATGCAGTTCCTGTGGGAAATAGGCTGTCGATAACTGGCAGAAGAAGGAAAGGCAACAGGCAGGCAAGAAGGATGGCTCAAGTAAATCGAACGCCGTCTCCATCCCCACCATCCAGGACGATTGGAAAGACGATTCAGCTGACCACTAGAATTTCTCAAGAAGAACACCATTCACAGCCCACAGATAAACCTCTTGTAATTCTCCTCTCCGGCTCTCTCTCCCTAGGACTTCTACGTCTCAACAGCTCCTTTCTGCCCAACTGCCTTCCTGAGTCTATGTTTTCTCCTGGGAATACTTTACATTTTAAATATACAGCCCAGCTAGCCTGCTGAAGCACTGCAGGTGGGAAGAAATCACCAGAGAGAGAGATTTGCTGTAAGTTCCCAACGTGCTTAGTCATTGGTATGGCATTTACCACAGTGGCTCTCAACCCTGGCTGTATATTAGATTCACCGAAGGAGCATCCAGAAATAACCCAGCTCAGGGCCCAGGGCAGAGCCATTAGAAAAACAGATCTCCAACATCTCTAAATGATATTTCTGTCTTCTGCTTTCCAGGGCCTTAGGGAGCCCACCTCCCTATACTACCTGGAAACCCCATCCCTGCAGGTCTTCCTCTCCTTTACCTTGATCAGCCCACCAACAGAGGCCCTGGGAGCAGACAGGGCACCATCCTTAGCAGTGCAGGAGGCGTACACACTGATAACAAATTCCTTCAGTGCCCAAGAACTCACTCCTGTTTTTGCCCTGTGCTCAAACCTTTCACTTCTATGGGGACCTTAAATTTTTCTCTCAAGCAGAAGTCCCTGCCTCAATCCCCTACCTGCAAGCCTCGATATGAAGATCTACAAACAAACTTTTCAGAAACCAGGTGATGTTTTTAGCTCCCTCCTCCCTGTCAATAGACTTTTTGCCTCCACCTACTTCTAGAAGCTCAGTCTTTACCTGGGTGTGTTCTGCTCACTTGCCAGGTCTTATACCCTTAACCATCCCAGAACCTTCCTAAAGCCACCAAAACTACTGCCAGGACCTTTCCCTAGTGCCTGACGCTAGATCTCTCTCAACCATCTGCCCTTTTCCTATGGGTCTCTCTTAGCTCTGGGCACTGCAGTTCACTGCGCTGTGTGGGTGGCCCTGCACTAATGGTGGGGAGAGAGAAGAGGGGCACAGAAACAACCCCCCTTTCACTAGTCGTGGTGACATGGCCAGGAGCTTTTGCAGTAGAACAAAGATAACATACTCTAAGCAACTGTAGAAACAGGTCTCCTTTATACTCCCCTCAATCCATGGAGAGAACTTCAAAGCTGATCCCCTCTATGGTTATCTCTACGGCCTGACTCTCGTTAACGATCAGAGCCGTTTTACTCCATTATGAAGTTCTACTTATTGTAAAGTACACACTGAATTTCATTCAGACCAAAAAAAAAAGCTTTTAATTCCAACTTTTTAGGTATTCATTCTATCCCTGGGTTGACTAAAACCCTCATGGCTTCAAAAAAAAATCAAACGCTTAGAGCTCAGACAGTTTCCGTGGGTATGAAGAGTGCCCGTCACACGCCTACCTGGGCGCTGCTGAGAGGCTGGACGGCTGTTCGGACTCACTGCACTGCTCTAGAGCAGAAGCAGGCGGTGCAGTGAAGCCCCTGGACTCCTGCAAGTCCCGGGAGCGTGCCCCATGCATCTCGTCCCTCCAGGGCTGAAGGGCAATGACTTGCTGGCCGGGTACAACCTGGGATCGGGCGTGGCGGGCGTCAGCAGCGATCCTCTCGACCTGAGCCTTGGGATCCACACGGTCCGCCCGGGGAGGCTCTTCCGAAAGGGCTGGCTGAAGGTGAAGAGTCATTCCTTCGTCTGTCCCACAGACTTCTCAGTGCCACGGTGTTGTCGGATCTGTGCTGCGGGACAGAGGCCATGGGCCATGTCGCCCGCCTCCAGGAAGTTCACAGACCAGGGCACACGTGGACAGCCAGGGGGATGACTGCAATTAAGTGGTGTGGGAATAAAGAAGGAGGGGTGACTGACGTAAATAAGGTGAGAGAACGCATCCAGGAAATGCTTCCCCAAACAGGCGATGCGTGAGCATAACTCCCAATAAATAGGAGTTTGGAAAAGAACAGTGGCTAGTGTGGGCTTAAAGGAGCAGGTAGTTGGCTTTGGCTTTCAGGTTAGAGGAAGCAAGGGGAGTGGTTAGAGGTAGGCAGGGTCTGTGCCATCAAAGGCCTTAGACTTCACACTAAGAAGTTTAGATTTTCATCCAGGGAGCTGTGAGAACAACTGAGAAATTTAAGAAGGGGTTTGGGACCGTGGTTGATTTCCATTTTTTGATAAATGACCCTGGTCGTTGTATTGAGAATGGATGGGAGAGGGAGACAAGGCTAGATAGAGGAGGACCGGCAGGATGCCAGCTCCTAAATCTTTGAAGAACTGTGATTTTGATGGAAATGCAAAGCCATGACTGCTATATTAATATACCCACGGTAACTGACCCCAGCAGAGAAGCAAGGAATTGAGTGGTGACGTGTTTTTTATTTCTTCAAATTCAAGTCTTTGTAAATTTTTCATGCTAAGTTAATAGGAAATTAAAAGAGTATCTCAACAGTTCACCCTGGGGAATTAACTCCTTTTTTAATAGGTTTGGACTTTTTTTTTTTTCCTTTTTGAAGGTAGATGATCATAAAAATTAATCCATCATCTCCCCAGGAAAACTGGTTGGTCTCAACGTTCTCAGTCAGTTTTATGTCGGTGGCTACAGGGAATACTCTCCAGGTCTCTTGCCAAATGGAGCCGGTTTTAAAAATGGCTTTCAAGGTAAGGCATGGACGTTTTTACACTATACCTACTTGTTTCAAGTTTTGAGAAAAGAAAGCTTTTAAAGGGTACACACCTCTAGTTCCAAACCCAGTAATGTGATTGCTTTCTGATTGGACTTGATCAAAGTTTGATTTTAATGGAAAGCATTTATTCTTATTAATCACTTATTACCTATGTGCTAGGTGTTTGGGATATTTCAGTGAAAAAAACAAAGATTCTTATACTTGTGAGTTTATATTCTAATTGGTCAAAGGAGGGAACAGATATTAAACACTAAATATAATAAATAAAGGCCTGGCTGGTGTGGCTCAGTATGTTGACCCTCATCCTATGCATCAAGAGATCGCCAGTTCAGTTCCCAGTCAGGGCACATGCCTGGGTTGCTGGCCCGATCCCCAGTAGGGGGCGCGCAGGAGGCAGCTGATCGATGTTCCTATCTCTTTCTCCCTCTCCCTTCCTCTGTCTCTATTATTTTTAAAAATAATAATAAAATAAATAGCTAAGGAAATAGTATAGTGGTATAAGGTGGTAAGTTCTGTGTAGCAAAAGAAAGGAAAAATAGTGTGAGTGATTTTTTTTTATATAGGGTGCTTTTTAATATAGGGTAAGTAATATAGACCTCATGGAGTCACAGTGAAAATTGAAATTGCATCCAACTTTGGAATGTACTTGATCTAAAAGATGAGTGACAGACTGCAGCCAACTAATCCATACCACTGCGGTGTGGTCCCACAGAGTCCACCAGAAGCCAAGAGGATTAAGACCCAACACCATGCTTGGGCAAGCAGTCGGAGGACCATCGTCTGTGTCCCTGTGTTCAAATAGGAGCATACACTCAGATCTTCCCTATAAGAGTGATTCATAGCAGAGTTATAAAATAAACACATGCTCTGAATTGTTAGTGTAGGCATTTAGCGAAAATAAGCTTCATGGTGGATCCCTAGTCCCAGAGTATTTGGTGAAGGGGCTGCTCATTGTAGGGTCCTAGCGCTCACCCATGACCAGTCTACTCTCTGTCAGAAATTAAGGACCAGAGCCCAGGGTGCGATGCACGTCCCTGTGAGCCATCAAAGCCACCTCAGTCACTGTAGCTCCCTGCCTGCCTGGCACCATCATTTTCCCCACCTTCACTGACTTCTGCCTGAACACTGATGCTGAAGGCCGTGTATTTGGAACATATGAAAGCAACACAGCTAATCCAGCATAATACAAGGTCAGGTTGCAATAAAATTAGTTTGTTGTGCCAAGGCTCTGAAAGAAACTTTTTTCTTTGAATACGTAACCAGTGCAGATTCTCAGAACGTGTGTTAAAGAATAGTTTAAAGCATATTGAGACACTCTGCTAAATACAATCGAGAGCTCGACAGTTCTTTCACAGCAGGAGACAATCCGAAAGGGATTGTGAGGGCATAACAAGTCACTGAGGTTTTTAAACATTAGGTTCAAGGGAAAAAAATGGGCCAATTTAGGAATGTGTAAGAAGCACATCTTCCACTCAGTGAAACAGCGATCCCGTGGGGAGTCATCAGAACTTGCTGTCATTTCATCTCAGACGTGATGCTTACAGAAATATCCTGGATATAGCATCAAGGATGCGAGTGTGGCCTCTGGAACCCAGCTGCCTGGGTGTGCACCTCAGCTCTGCCACCAACAAGCTTCGTGACCCGGCTAGTAACCGAGCCTCCCTGTGCCTCCCTGTGCCTCATCTGTAAAATGGGTAATAACAGCACTTGCCTTGCTTGTGATTCTGAGAGTGAGTTAATGGGAAGAGAGCACAGATGACTGCCTGGCTTAGAGTGCCCCGTGTGTTAGCGATGATGGGGGTGCTGGTGGCGGGAGGTGACACAGCTCCGGTCACACACCTGCTTCTCCTTCTCTGCTGCACCGACAGTGGGTAAGAGCAGGCTCTGCAGTCAGCCTGTCTTCAGACCCTGGCCCTGCCACCTAGCAGCTATCTGTCTGAGCCTTTTACCTAAACTCTCCAAGCCTCCATGTTTTCTTCTGTAAAATAAAAACACCTATCCCACAGCGTTCTTGTGAGTTAATCAATTAACTAAAATAATGTTGAGTGCTTAACCCAGAAAACAGCACGTGATAAACAGTCAGTAAATGTTAACATATCAGTATTCCATCCTGTTGACATTGGACTTGACGTTTTCAAATTTACTGGAGTCCAGTGCTTCATGGTTCCCTTGTATTATTTTCTTCCCTTCTATTAGGAACTTCACTTCTTGATAATGAGAACAAAGAAAGGCTTTCTTCAAAACCTGTCATTTTCTCCTTAAGTGTGTGAAAGAGCCTGAGTTCAGCACACAAACAGCCGGCCCCTCCTGTGAGAGTTGCTAGGGCTGCACATCTGGAAGCCCGTCAGCTGCCATGGTGCTTAGTTAGGATGGAAATCTTGGGAGGGTCTTCTTGGAAATTGCCTCTTAATCCACAATCTTATGGAAGCTCCAGGACCTTAGAAGCCCCTAATTTTATCATTTGACTCTTGAATTCTCCCTTCATGCCTGCATCTCCTCCATTTTAAACTAGCATCTACTGTGAACTGCAAATTATGGACGATTACTACCAATCTACCATAAAGACTAGGTCGCAACTAAACCATAAATCTATGATTCCCCAAAACTGATCCCCATCCCTCTCTGGAGAATGATATAGGGTGACTTCTTTAAAATATAGATTTCTGCACCCTACCCCAGAACTACTTAATTGAAATCTCTAGAATGGGGTCTAAAAATTTGCATTTCAGTAAGCCTCCTCAAATTTGGAAATCACTACACTAATTAATCATAACAAAACAAATAGAGTTGTGGAAAAGTTTAATAATTAGTCTGGCCTTAGCCTAATTATTAAATTCTAACATCACTAACACAAATAAATAAGACCTAATTATTTTTCCTTAGAATGGGGATTAAATCACACACAGTAAAAGATTATCTGATTTAGGCTTTCGCGTTTCTGTAAACACTCCTGATAAATAAACCTAAGCCAGAAGTTCTCAGTCTCAAATACAAATCATTACTGTTAATGTAGCCCATTTGTTTTTGTTCTGGAAGTGGTTTATAATGAGCCATTATCCTCCCTATAACCTTTAATGGTAATGAAAATATTGAGGTTATTTAACTCTTCTCCAGACTAAATAATCTACATATGCCAAGCAAAGAGGTCATTGCTGTTTACCTGTCCTAATAAAAGGAATCCTACCCTGCTCTCCAAAGTTGCATGTATTACAAAGCTGCAGGGTTCTCAGGTTGAGGGTCATGGATGGGCTTTCGTGGGTTCGTGAGTCTCCTGAAATCATGCATCCAGTTGTGTGTGCCTGTGTGCATTTCTAGGAGAAGGGCCATCAACGTCCTATGATCTGTCACTTTTACTGACAGACCTATTTAATCCTGACATAGAATTAAAAATTACTTTTGACTAGTGTGAACATGAGGAAATCTATTATCCCATCTGTCTATTATTCTTGTGTTACAGCAGCTAGTGTTCACTGATACAGGGATTATTAAATATTTGTTACTCAGCAGAATAGAGTGGACATAAAATAGATTCAGATTCATTAACGACTCTGTAAAGACATTATTCCAACTTGACAGTGCCCTGCACTATCAGTACGGCTTCTTGCTAGTTCAATTTTTCTCTCTCTCTTTTTTTTTAATTGCATGAGCTTTTCCAAACCAGAGGCCATAAGGGGGAAAAATATTACAGTAATTTAAATATTCATTTACTGTCAAAAAAACACCATCACTTATCTGAAACTTAACCAGTCTGACTTTCCAATATTCACATGGCTCATGGTTCCAAAAGTCTTTAGCATCACTACTATCTCACATGCAGGATATACATATTGAATACCTGTTGCACGGTGCAATACTAAGCAGATTATATTGTATCTTCTATGTTAATAGGAGCGAAATTCTACAATATACATTCTACAAATGGCTTCCACTATAATTGCCTTTGAACTGATGATACGTTGACTAACAGTTAGGCTCTCTCTAAAATTAACATATTCTACTATTTGTATTTCTAAATGTTTCTCTAAATAGATCCTTGCCAAGTCTTTAGGCAAAACACATTTCAGCAATTCCACATAACAAAAGCATTTCTTATCCATCTAAAAGAGGAGAGGCTTAAAATGAACAGCTTCAGACATTAATATCTATTATAATCATTTAGTGACGTTTTTTGGTGGATGATTATAAAAACTACAAAAACCTAATACTAGCCTCCTACAATTTTATGTTAAAAAGAATTTTTATAAAGTAAATAAAGAATTTCTGAGACAGTGTGGTAGTGGGCATGGGTGGGAGGTGAAATACAAGGCTTAACTGCCAGGCATTGTACCGGCCAATTTGTGTAATCTTATGCCCCTTAACCCATGGAGTAATTATTTTTGTCCCCATTTTAAAGATAAAAAGATTGGCACTCAGTTAGATTTGGGTGATGGAGCCATTATTGGGAGAGACTGTGATTGAACCCGGGCACACCGACTTCAATCCTCGTGCTCTGCGCGGAGCACCTCTCACTCCTCGCCCTCGGCAGAGGCGTGGAAGCCCTGCTGCGCTAGTCGAGCCGCCTGGTTTCATTCATTCACTTCTTCACCCAGGACACCGTATTAGTGCTCTTTTGTGTAATAGTAGGTGGCAGTACTTGGGGGAAGAACAAAGATTAAACCTAAGGAAGAAAACTGCAATTCTCTTACAATGAGAACATATCGGTGCAGGCTGAGGACGGTGCTTGTCAGTGCAAACTAGGTTGAAAAAGAAATTCTTAACCTTTCAAAACGGAACCCATTTTTTTTCACCATGAAGAATATTCTATACTTGCTTCAGAAAATGTTTTGGAAATAAAATCCAATCTAGCCTATCTTTTATCATTTTCAAGACCTTATTTATGGCTGATGTCCATATTGAATTGGAAGTACACTGTAAAGAGACTGAGTAAATGCTGAAGGAAATGAGTAAAATTACAATACATTTCAGTATCTTAAACAATTCTATTGATTAGTTAATGGGCTGCCCTTTTTGTTTATCTTTATTTAATACTGGGGTGGAAAAGACCTTTCTTTTTTCCGAGCTTTCTTGTTGTATAATTGACAAATAAAAATTATATATTTAATGTGTACTATGCAATGGTTTGGTGTGCTATACATTGTGAAAAGAGTGCCACAATCAAGTTAATTAACACATCCATCACCCAACATAGTTACCGTGTGTGTGTGTGTGTGTGTGTGTGTGTGTGATGGGTACACTTAAGATCTGCTTTCTCAGCAAATTTCAAGTATACAAAACAGTATTCTTAACTGTATTCACATGCGGTACATTAGCTCCCCAGAACTTATTCATCTTTTAACTGAAAGTTTGTACCGTTTGACCACCCATCTCCCCAT